AAAAAATTGATTTTTTGATCGTTATTTTACTATTTCAGTCGTCATATTTGACTCTTCTCTCATAGGTGGATCCTACTTTTTTTCTAACGGTTAAAAAACTAATTTTCAAAATCACTCCCAAATAGACTCTAAGTGTAAATAATAAATGTTCATAAAGGATGACATAATGTGATGTGGAAGGAAAAAATTGGTTAAAAAAGTTGATTGTGTTTTAAACAGGTAAATGATAGAATGTCACGTAGCATAATGGACGCCTCTATACATATACTTATGTACTTATAGCACTACTCAAAGTTAATAAATAATAAATCCGTTTACATATCTAAGGTGTATTACTCAGTTCGTATGTGAGAAACTAGAAAATGCAACTTTCAATGTGAATATTTATAAAGGATAATTGACACAAAACGTCCTGCCTTTAAGATTTCTAGTGGAAAATGTCTTCACCTTTCATTTTTTGACATTTTTGCTTTTATTTCCACATTTCTTTGTGGAGAATATCATTTTCCATTTTTTAATGTAAAATGAACAAAATACTTTTCTATTTAAATAAAATCCAAAAAGAAAGAAAAGAAAAATAAAGAATAAATTACAATCTTACTCCTAAATATTTTAAAAAATGCAAGTGAGTCCAGATATTTATTAAAAGGCTTAATAGCACAAAACATTCATACGTTTGGTCTATAGTGTAAAAAACATTCATACGTTTCAAATTGGTGAAATGGATGTTTTCCGCAATGAAACATGAAAATAGGAATGAAAACGCAAAAAAAAAAAATTAAAAAGTTGGGACGTTTTTCTACAAGTGTTAAACGTAGGGATATTTTTTACTATTAGCCCTTATTAAAATATTAAAAATAACAAAAACTCTCTCTCCCTCTATCTCTTCTCTTCTTCTCCAAATGGGCCAATCACCTTAGAAGTCAAAAAATTCCAGCCAACCATCATCCAAACTGCTGGACTACCATACCACCGAAAAGCCCTCACCTCCTTCTATACATTCCACCCAACATCTAATCTTGAAGTCTTCATGCCAATAGATTTTTAGAAATTGCAAGCCAAAATACCCAACTAGCGAATGTAAATACCGGCGGCATCACCTATTTTGGAGAGACCCGTGTCATTTCCAACACAACAATCAACTATACTCACCAGGGGCGCCTATCTTCATGATCTTAAAATATCAACAGATTGTTTAACGGTATGGAGGTTCAACGATTTAGGCGATGGTTGGTTGAAATTTTTTCACTTCTAGTGTGGCAGTGCCATTTGGAGAAAAAGAGAAGAGAGAGAGAGAGAGAGAGAGAGTTTTTTTTTAATATTTTAATAAGGTCTAATAGCAAAAAAATCCCTACGTTTGACACTTCTTGCGGAAAATGTGCTTACGTTTCAATTTTTTTGCGTTTTCATCCCAATTTTCATGTTTCATTATGAAAAAGTCCCTTTAACCAATTTGAAACGTAGGGACGTTTTATGCTATTAGGTCTTTTAATAATTATTTGGACTTACTTGCACTTTTTAAAACATTTAGGAGTAAGATTGTAATTTATTCTTTACTTTTCTTTTCTTTTTTGTGTTTTATTTAAATGAGAGGGTATTTTAGTCATTTTATATTAAAAAGTGGTGAAAATGACGTTTTCCGCAAAAGAAATGTGAAAATAAGAGTAAAAATGCCAAAAAAAAAAATGAAAGGTGTAGACCTTTTCCACAATAAATCTTAAAGGTAGGGACGTTTTGTGCCAATTGCCCTATTTATAAATGTCATAGAGTTAGACCAGTGAATTATGTCTTCTTTAAAGTCGGCTTCGAAGTCCACCATCTATTTTCACTAAATGTCTGTTTGATTGTAAAGATGAAATTGAATTAAATTGAAAACAAATTTTAGAAAATTGAATTGCCTAGAAATTATTTTCTTGGGAATTGTAAATTATTGTATTTGATTGGTATAATTCTTTACGTGGAAAATGTTGAAATAAAAAATATTTTTGTTGTTCGTTTGACTTTGTTTTACATAAAAATTGTTAATTAAAGAGATAAAATTACTGGTATTGGGGATGAAATTTATTTCCATTGCCCAAAAAAAAGTTCAAGAAAATCATTTATCTTTTGGTGTTCGTTAGGTTTTGTTTTACATAAAAATTATCAATTAAAGAAAAATATTTTTTTACAATAATTCTTATAATTTGTTAACTTTGCCAACAAAAAAAATGAAAAAAAAAATGCTACAATAATCGGAAAATCAAGAAAATACAAATTCCCAATACAAACAAGAAAATACAATTCCATGGAAAATAAAACATATCAAACACACAAAACTGGAAAAATGTAGAATTCGAATTCCATTTTTCATAAAATTTGAACTAATCAATCAGGGTCTAAGTAATTAGTTACAAAGACCTTAGTGAGAGAAGTGGGTCGTTTTCATTTCGAAAAAAGAGAAACAGACGTATATAGAAATGGTAGGCATTGGGTTGAGTGAATTACGGCGAAAATAGACAATTGAATTGCGAGGAAAATAGACAATCTTTCAATTTGAGTGCTTGTTTGGTAGAAATTTTATTAATTGATTTTTTTACCGTTAGAGATAAAGTGGATCCTACCTGTGAGAGGAGAATTCAAAAATGACGATTGAAATAGTGAAATAACGTTCAAAAAATTGATGTTAATTGGATTAAAATTCTTACCAAACATGCTCTGAATCTTAACACCAAAAAAAGGGTTTGTACAAGTTATCTAGGCATATTCGAAGTTTTACGAAACACTAATGCCCAGTGTACAAAATTTGGGTCACAGAAGTTTTACAGGGCCCCTCACTATGTAGGGGCCCCACATGTATTAAAAAAAAATTATGCGGGCCCCACGTATATGTGTATTTAGGAAAAGGCCTATAAAATTGGCCTTTGTACATGAAGCACAACTCTTTACGAAATTGGTAAGGCAAAGTTTCAATCTATCACTATTTCTTCTGTGATCTTGGTTGTAAAAGTGGTGTGTAGTGTTTTTCCTTGTGGTTTTAGTTGAAGAATTTGAGCATGTTGATGTGAAAATTTATAAAGTATTTCGTCATTTTGTTTTCAGATTTTTTCTTTTCATTTATTTAAATGGATGGTAGTTGTGCTTCAGACACTGTATCAACGACAGTTTTGGACAGAATCCATCAAAGGGACAATAACTGCTAATTTTATGAAACTTGAATTTCACGAATGACAAGAATTAAAGGTTGAGAATATAAGTACAAATGAAGTAACAAATTGGGGACATTAACCATAATTTACCACCCCTTTTAGAACTCAAAAGTGTGTTGTAATGTAAATTTTTTTCCAAATTACGGATAAAAAGTAAAAGGAAAATTATATTCACATCACGATTTTTGTTAACTTCATCAAATTTTTCAATTTTAATGAAGGTCCCTAATTTTCATTTATTTTTTATTTATATCTCTAATTTTTTTCATCGCATTATTATTTTTAATTTTCAATTAGTTAGCACATATTGCTTTTGAGGATGATTTTTGTATGAATATTCTGTTACTGTGAGAAAAATATTTTATGAATCTTCTTATTCAATATTTATTTTATCATTTAAAAATATGATGTGCAAATAAATTTTTTAATCACTCTTACTGTTTTTGCTCATCAGAGACATGGGCTAAAAAATAGAAATTTGAGGATAAAAATGACAAAAAAGTTAGGGACTCAACTTCAAAAATAATTTGAAATTGAGGATCAATGTGGTACATACAAAATTAAGGGTTGGCTATGGTTTGATTCTATTTAGAACCAAATCAAATTCAGAATCAAACGATATAATATTACATGCAGATAAATTTCAGCCTTTTTCAACCACATATTTTTCAGAAAAACACTATTCCAACAATTAAAATTTGAAAAAAAGGGAGCCAAACGGGGGTATAAAATTATTTTGTTATTTTTGTTCTTGTAATATAAGTGAGCCCAAAGGTCGGACAATTTTTTTTAAAAAAAATTCAATTTAGACTAAAAGTTCAAACCGACTAACTGAACATTTGGCTCAATTTAAGAACTAGAGTGGATTGGTTTAGGTTCAAATTTGTTCACATCGACTAATTTGGTTTTGGTTTTGAGTTAGAGTCGAAACTAACACAAACTAAACCACGCTTGGACCTAGGCGCTATGGAAGAATAATAGATTTATATAAAACTTAGGGTCTATTTGATTTGAGAAATTTTCCATGGAAATTTTTTCATTTTTCACATTTTTCCTTATTTGATTGCAAGAATTTTCTTGGCAATTCATTTTCCACCCCCTCCATGTGACCCTTTTTCCTTGATTTTGTGGAAAATCAATTTCCATGGGTTTGGTGAGAATTAGTTTTCAAGCTTTTATTATTATTATTATTTTTTGGAAACAAATTCTATTAACAATTGTAACAAGTTCTATCACTTTAAATGACAATTTCATGGAAAACAAAATTAAATGAACACCAAAATATCTAAAATTTTAACATTTTTCAGGTGAAAAATTATACTAATCAAACACATTTAATTAACAATTCTCTAATAAAACAAGTTCTAGATAATTAAATTCCATAAAATTCGTTTTCTTTTTATTCAAGTTCCATTATTGCAATCAAATGGATCCTTAAATCAATTTGATTAAGTTGGATTTGGACTGAAAATTAAAAAAATGAAAATTATATTTTGGGTTAGGACTAAATTAATTACTTAGGAAATTTATTTTGAAAAAATAAAATAATTTGACTTATTTAAAATAAATTAATTAAAAAAATTATGGAGTTAGTTTTTATTTAATCGAACTAGAATAGAGAATCAAATTGAATCCGTTAGGGCATTTAGCTCGTTTCAGTTCTAGTCGGACTCGGCTGGTTAAATTTCAAATTCTTTTTCCGTTCTTTAGGTTTTCAGAAGTCGTCCGTCGTCTCTCTCGAAAGGTAAAGTTGCATACTTCATCAGTCATTACTTGTCACGACACACAAATCAGACACTTCTTTTCGTGAATTTTTGGACTCCCTTTGCAAAATGCAAATTTCACATTTGTGTGTTTCTGCAATTTATTATTGTGACAGGAGATTGATTCCTTTGGTTTGAAATAGAGATAATGGCGGAATTGAGCTTGGGTATTCTCATAGATATAGTGGATGACGACTGGGCGAGAGACACTCTGCCTGATGATGGTACTTTTTCCACCAATTGTTGAATTTAATCTCATCGGATATCATTTTTTAAGTTAATTAACTCGTCCTATATGTTTGCCTTGTCAGATCTTCCATTACCCCCTGTACTGGCTTCTAGAACAGATGAAACTGAAGACTCGAGTATGTTTTTTCTTCCATGGATCTGAGAATTTAATTGGAATTATGCAATATGCAATGTATTTGCATTATCCGGTGTTTATTTTGATGTTTATGTCCTAGGTCCCAGGAGGGTGTTTATGTTCTTAATTCTACTTATTTTTGTGTTTTGGCAAGATATTGGGCCATTGGCAAGTGGCTTAATCCAAGAAATGAAGAGTAGGTTTTCCATTTTTATTTTATTATTATTTTTATATATGGTTCCATACTATAAGAAATCATACATATTACATTAAATTTTTTTGAAAATACAGTCTTAAGCTTGTTGGTGGAAAGACAATGGTAATTGGCTAGCCATGACATGATTTTCTTGAAAAAGCCTAGCAAAAATTGTAATTTGGAAAATTTTATGTCCTATCCCACGTGTTCGAATATTATAAAGACTAGTAGTATTGGGATTTTTCCCCAAGTAACACAATTTTGCAGCAGTTTTTATTAATCCTACCTCACAGAACTGATTTCCTAGCATGGATTTTAAGGACGGACTTGCAAATTTGATGCACTTTACTATATTTTCTCCATATATCTGGCATAAATTGAAATTTAAAACCTCATTTATCAGGTCAGTAGGCAAAAAATGGATAAAGCATATCTATTTTGAACCGATAATATTATATTATAGACGATATTTGGAAAATAACGGTTTGATATAAACATTTAAACTTGGTACATTTATCTTTCACTGTCATACTGATATATACTTCTATTGAATAAGCAATTCTTCCACTTAATTGAATAATTTTCTGTATTTTTGTATGTTATAGATGTGAAAGACTTAGTTTCTAATCATCATCTTTGGGATATTAACTGTGGTTTGGTGGTGAAGAACATATATATGCACTTTTGAACTCTCCCTTGTTCATGTTTGTGGTTTGTTTTCTGTTGTTAATTACTGAAATTGACTAAATAGTTTTCACTACAAACTTACATCAAAATTTTATGCTTAAGATGGGAACAGTTTAGTGTTTTCCCGAGGTTCAAATTTAGTATTTGAAAATTATATATACCATGGTGCTGTATATATCTTTCAGAGTTTTGTGCCACGTTGCTATATAAATCTCATGAACTCTATTGCTGGTTTCATCCTGAATCAACTCTTGAGATACTTGTCCTATTTCACATTTTTTTAATAATAATTGGCTTTAGAAAAGCAGCAACAAAAAGTACATCATTTTTTTCTCCATTTTGTGGAGAGGGAAGGAACTTCATTTCGTTCGAGAGAAAGTAAGCTTCCACAGTACAACTATGATTATTAATGCTTCGGATAATCCCAACTTTAATTTTATTGCGCATTGATTCAAACTGCTGCGCGATGTTCCAATGGCTCTCTGTATTCCCTGAAGCAATATATGCACTCTTTTTCTCCACAACATTTCCTGACAGATCAATTAATAACTTATTAAGCCCTGTTTGAGCCACATTATTTGGAAAAAATTCATTCTTCAGCAGTGAATTAACATCCTTTCAACCACATATTCTTCAATAAAATAATATTACACGAAAATTCATAACTTTTTCTTATTTTTTAACCACACATTTCCTATCAATACACTATTCAAAAATGTATTTTCATTTCAATAATTTGGCTCAAACAAGGGCTAAAACTAAAAAAAATTATACTAAAAATGAAGAGAAAGAAGAAAACCAGAATAAAACAAGGGAAAGAAGAATT